CAGTGTTTAAAAATAAGGTATCAGTTCACAACAAGGCAAGTAGTGGTTAAAATAAGATAAAACAAGACCTGTAATAAAGTGTATCGGGCACATAAACCACAGTGTACCTACTTCTCGCCTGAACACCAAAACACTGCACTACTCCCTAGGATGTGCCTTTTCAACCTAGAGCCCCATGTGATCCACGATAGGTTAGTCGTAGGCCAAAATATATGCAATAAAAACAGATTTTTAAATATTGCTCAACAAGCATACCAAGCGATAGATGGCGCCACACGTAATGCTAATCGTAATTTTAAAAAGTCCAGAAACTAGCAATAAATATATCATTCTAAAATAGTTGGGACGTATGGATGAAAAAACGTCAGAAACTGGAGAGCATTTCGGATGGGAGGAAAATTTTCTTTACTCATTCCACCACCTAACTTATATATGCATCCACCCTCTGAGTGGTTGAATGCAGGGGTGGGTAATGCAGATTTACCCCCGTCCCAAATGCTCTCTAGTTTCTTATCTTTTTCATCCCGACAAATTTAGAATATATATTTTGTTTTATTTTTAAACAATGTAAAAATGTTATTCGTTTACAGTATTAGTGATTAGATATATGAATCGTGTTTATGTAAATACAACATCACGATTAGTGTATAACTATAGAATAATATTGATAAGAATGTTTGTGCATAGTTGTAGACTTACATTTATAGAAATATTAGCAAATGATTGTACAAGCTCCTTCATTATTCTATTACTTTTATATTTACCCAAAGGAGTGCCCATACCTGAAACAAACCTCGTTAGGACACTCGCTCGTGGTACCTATTCAGGTCCATACCTGAAAATAAACCTCATTAGGATACCCGCTCGTGGTATCTGATTAGGTCCATACCTAAAAACAAACCTCGTTAGGACACTCGTTCGTGGTACCTATTCAGGTCCATACCTGAAAACAAACCTCGTTAGAATACCCGCTCATGGTACTTGGTCAGATCCATACCTGAAAACAAACCTCGTTAGGACACTCGTTCGTGGTACCTATTCAGGTCCATATCTGAAAACAAACCTCGTTTGGACACCCGCTCGTGGTATCTATTCAGGTCCACACCTGAAAACAAACCTCGTTAGGATACCCGCTCGTGGTACCTGGTCAGATCCATACCTGAAAACAAACCTCGTTGGGATACCCGCTCATGGTACCTGATTAGGTCCATACCTGAAAACAAACCTCGTTAGGACACCCGCTCGTGGTACCTGATTAGGTCCACACCTGAAAACAAACCTCGTTAGGACACTCGCTCATGGTACCTGATTAGGTCCATATCTGAAAACAAACCTCGTTAGGACACCCGCTCGTGGTACCTGATCACGCGTGTCGTATTTGATCCCGCTAGCTTATGAGTAGAGGTACGAACAGTTAAATATATGGCATCCACGAGATCTTGATGTGGTTTAGGAACACAAAATGAGACACCCCAAGTCTGTCTGCCAAATTTGATCCTACTAGTTCAAACATCGTAGTATGAGTTCGTGGACAAACAAATTAAAAACAGATAACGTGAATTAATATAGAATAGATATAGGTTGTCTTGTGTAGCATATTGAGTTATATATATATAATAAAGAAACTGTTTCAGTTTTGATAAATTTTAAAATATTACAAATTTGTATTCCATCAAAGAAATTTACAAATAATTTCGAATTCAGCAAACATCACAAATATTTGAAAAATTATGTTTCCAAAGGGTGCGGGTTGGCCCTATGCTAGAACTCTGCATTTCGGAGAGCGATCAGAGTTCGAATCCGTGCGATACCACCACAAAATATTCCTCGGTACTTTAAACTATGAATGTGTTATAAGAGTAACAGTCAATTTCATGGCGTAAATGGTGGTGGTAAGATGCTACTGACTGGCTTCCCTGTCTCTGGACAGTAGTACAGAGATGAAGACGGTGGCAGATAGCCTTAGTAACTTTGCCATAAATACAAATAGAAATATGTTTCCGATCATCAACAAAATGTTATAAAATGTACTTTAAACGACCCAACCCTATAGGATATATTTTACAGATTTAAATTTTAAAAAAACTAAAGCTATCTTCGGAAGTGACACCTGAAATTTGGGGGTGAATTCGAACCTCTGATTCTGGTTATTATTTATAGCCAACTTCGCTATTCCCTCTAAATACAGTTATAGGTCGATTCAACTGATGGTTAAGTAGAGGCAACCGAAAGGCACGATGAGTTTTATCTCCTGGAACATTCGGTAAAGGCCAAGTGTAGTCTTAGTGGTTAGACTGCCCAGACGAGAATCCGACGATTCGGGATTCCCAATCCATTGTCTCAGTAAAGCGCTTCGCCTTGGGAGCCGTACGTGCGCTGCAACGATGACGGTCAAATCAGTATTCGATAAGACAAGAATAGCCCAGGGCTAGCGGCGAAAGCTGTCTTTCATCTAGTATATGGGATCAAAATTAGGAACAGTTATGTGCGTATAACTTGTACATTCAGTATCAGTAATTCCAATTTAGTGGATCTATTATCCTCTTTAAGAATTGTTGTTCAATAAAATTTTAAATACCTTATAAAATCATACTTAAATATTTAAATCACGTGAGTGTCTCGGCTGGTATTTAAACATTAAATTAATATTTAATTAGCAGGAAAGAAAATAGGATGCAGAAACAAGAGCTCCCAAAGTTGATTGTTCATATTAGTCAAAGAAATAAGTTTCTGTCATCAAGAAAAAAAAATAAATAGTTAACTAGAAACATGTTCATTGACGCGTGTTATTGTTATTTTTCTGGTGTAATAGGTAAAAAAAAACTATTATCATAAGAGTATACTTTCGTATAATCGTAAATGTCATATAACAAGTTGAAAACGTCTTTTGATAATCATACAAAATAATTTGTATTTATGGAGAAGTTACTAAGATTATCTGCCGCCGTTCCTAATTTTGAATTTCTAACCAGAGGAAAGAGGACCAGTCAGCATCACATAATTTGCGCGTCCCTTCCTTTAACTGGATGTCAACCCATATAAAGCAGGGGACATCCAACTCATTTTGGCACGCCTAAGGGCCTTCATGGATATGCTATATTTCAGTGAAGAAACTTTAGGTTAGATCAAAGATAAGCAAGTGGATCGATTGGTCACCTAGGTGTCTTTACTTTAAAGAAGTTTCGAAAGTACAAGAAAAAAAAAGTTACTTTTAAGGGATATGAAATTGTATTTTTTTTAATCAGAAACGGAAAATACATTATATAATACTGGTAAAAATCAAAGAAAGAATGCCGATGTCATAAAACGAAGATAAATGGTCAGATGGCAGTGGGACTCAAAATCAGCAGGGAAAGTGGCATCTATCAAGAAGTTGAAATCTTGAATGGTAGAAAGGAAGAAAACAATGCAAATTGATGACTTAGACGTTTCGATAATAGACAACGCATCTTCATCACACAAACAGGTTTACGAAGTAAGAATTTGTAAGACTTGTTATACTATTCTGGCTCCTTGAAGTTCTATTCTTAATTTGACATATTTTCACTAATCTTTGATTTGGTTTTTGAATTTCGCTCAAAGCTACTCGAGGGCTATCTGTGCTCTGTTCACCACGAGGAATTGAGCCTCGGATTTTTGCGTCTCACCGAAGAACTTCCCTATGATTTTTTATTAATAATTACATTTTGGCAACGGACTTAGAATATAATTTTACTAAATAACAAATGTTTCGAACACGTTTAGCCGGATAAATATCAGGCTATCAAGTTCTGATTGACTTATACCCTTAGGATAATATACAAGTTTCGTAAGTGCAACCATGTAATATAACAGTTTCCCATACAAATATTTTAACGTCATTTTGAGAATAAAACTAGGAGAAAAAATCCTCTGTTTGTCCAACTGGAGTTTATTCCACCACAAATGTATCTTTTTAGTTTTGTAGCGGTGTTTTTTATAGATAAGTGCTTATTGTTAATCTAAGGTTTTGCTTTGATCTAAAGAGTGAGAAGAAATGTGAAAAGTACAGATTTTTTACTAAGAGTATCCTAAACAAATTACATGTTGCTATTTCCGTTCAAATATTACTTGGACAGATGTATTTGCCACCGCAGTAATCAGACTTTCAGTTTCAAGAGTAAAATAATTTGGATTGAACAATAAGTAATTACCATTACATTTTTATATTATTAGAACAGGTCCTAAGGAAAAGGTTAAATCATCAAAAATTTTAAAACCAGCAAACATTCACTTTCTTGTCCTCCTAACGGCAACTGTTCTTTGTTAAGCCTTCTTTAGTGAAATCGTTGATTTCTGTTTGTTTGTAGTTTGGCACAAAGCTATACAATGGGTTATCTGTACTCTGTCCATCACAGATATCGAAGCCCAGTTTTTAGCGTCATAGGTCTGCAGAAGTACAGCTATGCCATGGAAGGCCGTGGGCTATTTGTGCTGTGCCCACCACGAGTATCGAAACCCGATTTGTAGCGTCATAAGTCCTGAGACCTGCCGTTACGCCACTAGGAGAGAGCAAATTATTTTCGTTAGATTCTTCTACCTGTGTAAGACAATCGGTGCCCATTTTCCCCTTGATTTTCATCATGAATAGATTACCTAATTTTTCTACTAAAGAGTGTTTATTGTCTTGTAATGTTGCAGCATATGTTCATATAAACTACTTTTCAAATTCTTGCAAACTAAGGAAAACTGAGCAGAGTCGATATTCACGTGATTGTTGGGCTGGTTGTAGTAATATCATGCTTCAATGTCGCTGATATACAGTATGAACCATGGGAATTAATAATCAATAGTTTAGGTACTCTTGAATGACAAGTTCTGATTGGTGGATGCAATACGCGGGCATCTGATCGAGCCTCAGGTTCCGCTATACTAGAATGACAAAAACGGATTTCTTTGAGTGGTCATCATAGCTGGTTCAACATATCCAATACTTGATTACAAGTGACTTTCATTTAGCAATTCCTCCTATGTAGATATGGTGCATTGCCAAAGATTTTACTGTCATTTTCCCTATAGTTCCACTAGCGACAAACTGTAACTAGAACAAAGTTTCACATCTGTAAAACTAAACCACCACTGAGAAGACTTTTTTCCGCAAGTACTTCGTAAAGTAAGTCTAATTTCATATTATAAACACAAAAGTGTTTCTATATAAGATATCCTTAAAATGTTTATGTTTGAAAATATTCTCACTTTCAGCAGCGTATAAATATGTATGTATACATGTCCCTTTTAAGTAAATTTAATTTTGTATGAACCCTTAAGCCTAAAAATAGTTTTGAACTCACATGCCTTAAAACGGAATTTGTTTGAAATAAATATCTATGTAAAATAATTGATATTGTGACTTAGCACATATCATTTGAAACTTATTGTTATCTATCTTCATCCACCAGTTATATATGTAAAAGATTACTGAGTGTTGGCTACTTTCGGTAATAGGACTGGAAAATTAACAAGTAAGTTTTTGTATTCTTTAGTTATATGTGTTCTCTCTGACAGCCAACAGGTTTACTGCTTTAACTTAAAAGTAAGACTAAGAATTGAAGGACTGATACTCATATCTATTTCCATACCCCCAAATATATTTACCTGATATTGCTTGTTTCTTGTTAAGGGCAAAGTTACACAACAGACTGTCTGTGCTATGCCCTCCTCAGGTATCGAAACCAGGTTTTTAGTGTTATAAGCTTTCAGACTTAACGCTGAACCACTGGGAGTCATCTGATGCTGCTTATTTCTTTTAGAGCCAACCCACATTGGGCTAGCTACTAATGTCCGCTGCGAGGTATCAAACTCCGGATATCAGCGTAGTAAGTTCGTAAACTTACCGCTGTTTAAACGTAAGCAAGTAAGTTAATCATACAGCATATAAAAATTGAATATTACATCGATACACTGCACAAGAGTAAAATAAAATTAATTTCTGCCAAGTAGCAAAGCAAAAACAAAAAGTATTTGTTTTTTATTTCAACAACGTATCCGCTTTCGTCGAGAATATTTTTTTACATTACGATAAGACAAAAACATATTCAATAGGTTTGAGCCACTCATCAAGTTAGTTCCTAGTTTTAGCTCAGAACTTTCTATTCTGTGTATTAGTTTTGCTACAAGCTCTTCTTAGAAGTGTGGTATGCATAAGATTTATCAGAATAGAAAAAACAAATAACCAATAGAAAATAAAGATTAATTATCAAATCGTTCTCACTTGAAATACATTAAAGTAACAATATTCCTAAAATTATGAACATATTTTTAAACATTCCAGAAAAATGTATAAGTTACAGTTAATCTATGACACAATTTATAATCTGAAAATGAACATTTTGGAATCGATGAAACTATAAAACAAAATATACCTCGCTGCTTTTTAAATCTTTATTACTACTTGAAGTAAGTGTCACAAAAGGGTGTTTGTTTGTTTGTTGTTAGAACAAAGCTGCACAAATGAATTATCTGTACTATGTCCACCATGGGTATTGAAGCCAGTGGGGGGTTACAATTCAATGAAAGTGACAGAAAAGTGTTAAAAATATGTTATGCATTTATACATTTTCTACATAATCGAGGCGTAACTGGTATTTTCACCACTCATATTTCTCATTCACGTTTAATATGCCTTTTCCTACAAGCAGAGATTGCAACAAAAAATATTTTTCAAAATAGTGACTTAGTTCTATCCATACTACTTTACCAAAGCACAATCAAACATATCATATACAGTAGTCACAGAAAAAGCCATGGATCACCTAACAAATGTTCAATTTTTTATTGTTTTTGATTTCTCATGCTCTTTGCAAACATATGCTTATTCAATGTGTCAAACTTGTGGGAAAATGAACTGAATAGACGCAAAGTAATATGAAATCGTTTTTCACAGAAAAGTAGGTTTTAACAATATTTTCCTGAATCATAACACTTGAACTACTGATCAGGTACTGTAGTGTGATAAATCTACTTTTCCAATCTCATCATGCAAAATTGGCATTTTTGTGAGCCGTCATGTTGATGAAGAATTCCAATCATTGTGCGCAAGAGCAACGTTGAATCATCTAATATCTGTAACGATTTGGACCAGCGTGTCTTCATTCTATTATAACATTGCTATGTGAACTTGCTTCGTCGTAAAGGTTTGTTACATAATCCACCAGAAATAAAGATATCCTTGGCAGCATTGCACAGTCGCAGTCGGGAATTCGTTCTAAATCAAATACCTAGGTACCACACATGCCATTTTTGGAACCATAGCATATGAAAATCGTTCCTAACCCTCTCTATTAAATATACACAAAGACCATCATAATTCTTTAAGAGTTCGTAATATTCGTTTCTACTAAAACATTGTTCATTCGAAACATAGAATATATATTGAATGTTTAACTGCCTAAAACTTTTAATTTTGTAAATATAACCATTTATTTTAGTTAACATGCATCAATTTTACAAAATATATACAGACGTTATCTTAGCAGGAATTGTGTATGGGATTAATTAGAGGTTTGATGGTATTACATGGATATCAGAGTTACAAGAATTCATCACATCAATATTACATGAATCAGTAACTAAATATTACTGGCTCAGTGTTCAGTTATCCGATGAAGAAATACCTACCTTATGCTATACTTAGAGAAACTCAGTAGGAGTATGTCTCCATACTTTGATGACCACGTGAGGGACTTCTGATTTAATTTCATCATCGATAATTCGATAGGAAGAAGTCAACCATACTCGTTTTAGTCAGCAGATTTCTTACTTAAGTGGAAATCTCTCTTGCATTTATATACGGAAAGCTAGTCAATCTGTGGCTGTGTACACATTGATTTCTTGAACTCGTGTTGACAAAAAATTCAACTTGTAAAACTGTCTGTAGACAAATTAATGTTTAAATATTATTGTACATCAAGACTAATAAAAATACATCTATTTTCTTTTGAGTTATAAGGTACGTAACAGTTTACAAGCTCTACTAAACTAATTGAATTTGACTAACACAGCCTCGTTATAAAATAAAAGCTCACTCATTCATAAACTGAAGACAAAACTAAATCAGGTTAGTTCAGCTTGTAAAGTTTTACTTACCTTATATTTATGAACAAATAAACACATAAAAGCATTATAATTATAAGTTCTGTGTATGGGAGAGCGTTGGTCCTGGGCTATTCAAGACGTATAAACCCGTAAGAGAACTTAGTGGTGAAATGAATATTAATTTTTTCGACGTTTTATTTTACACAACAACTCCCCCTTGAATCAGGACCCCAGTTTGAGCGTTTCTCACACTGGGGTCCTGACTCAAAAGGGAGTCGTTAGACTATTGTAGAGGGGCCATGTGGTCATAAAAAACATTGCGATAACGGATACTTTAGAGTATGTACAGGAATTTGCTATCACTTTGTATGTGGAGAGGGGTCGTCACAGTCTGAAATATTTTCAAGGGGGAGGCAGCAAAAGGGTTAGAGAACCCCTGTTCTACTGACACAGGCTGAATTTCACATCAACATCTTATTACAATTCCAGTAAAATTAAATTTATGTATATTTAGGGGACACGTGTGAATTATTATATGCTCAACTCACATTGATTTAATTGAGGTTTGAAATCAACCCTAATTATTTCAGTTATTCTTAGATGTTTTGGTTTTTTTCTTTCTTTTAAAGTAGTATGCCGTTTCAATATATATTGGTTCTAAGTGCGCTGTTTCTATGCATACTGTTTTTTGTAAAAAGCTGTAAAATGGCGGGAATCGGAACCCGAATTTCAGCGATATAAGCTCTCAGGTTTACAGTTGAGTGACCAAGGCACACGCTATTTTCATACACACGTTTTTCTAAGGACAGTGTTTATATACTCTCTGTTTCTATAAATAATGTTTCTATACACACTTTTTCTATACATACTATTTTTTATACACATTGTTTCTATACATTCTATACACATTTTTCTAATGATAGTGTTTCCCTGCAAACTGTTTCTATACATACTACTTTTTATACAGATTGTTTCTATACATTTTATACATATTTTTCTAAGGATAGTGTTTCCCTGCAAACTGTTTCTATACACACTATTTTTATACACATTGTTTCTATACATTCTATACACATTTTTCTAAGGATAGTGTTTCCCTGCAAACTGTTTCTATACACAATGTTTGTATACACACTTTTTCCTATACTTACTTATTCTATAAACACTGTTTTTATTTATACTGTGTCTATTTTCTGTTCTGATAATTTCTCTTACGAAGTTCTCTTTAGTAAGAACAATTTCCAATCGCGTAACTAATAAAATCGTTCTTTTTTGTTTCATTTCCTTTCTATAATTAATCGCGTAATAATATGATTATCCTTTTGAAACATAGCCTGTAACTAATTATCATAAGACAAAATAATTTAGGAGCGTAATATTTTTTTCTTTTAAACTTTTAAAATCGCTGTCGTGATTAGTAGCATATATGATCACAATTCTGTGTGTCCTACATTGTGGCAATTTTGTGGTACCAGCCCTTACACCTTCCAACATGATAACGCTCCATGTCACAAAGCAAGGATTGTGAACACGTGGTTTGAAGAGAATAATGTCGGAACATTGCAGTGGCCAGCACAAAACCCCGATCTCAACCCGATAGAACATCTTTGTGATGAACTGGAATGCAAAATTAGGTTACGGCTAAGATGGCCCTCTTCAGTAGTGAAGCTTACTGATGCTTTAAAGGAGGAATGGAGCATATTACCACCAGCTTTCTACCAGAAATTAGTAGACAGTCTTCCACGACGCATTGAAGCAGTCATTAAGGCCAAAAGCGGGCCAACACGCTATTAATTTCTTGGAATAAAGACGTGTTTTATTCATAATTACCCGTGCCCCATAACTTTTGGTAGGATAGTGAATTTCTTCTCAAATGAAAATAAAAACTGAAACACAAAGAAATAATTTCATATATATGATTTCCCGCAGAGTTTACTTACAAATGTGTCACATCACAGTTACCAATAGTAAGATTTTCTTCATGATGATGATGTGACACTTTTGATAACACACAAACAATAATATTTGATACTTTGACAAAAATCCGTTGTCTCACGCCATTCTTTGAAGCAGTTTACATCCACTACTATTTTACTGTTAATTATGACCGTAGCATCAAATGTACCTTCATTTTACACTATAATTGTATAAAAGGCACCCAAGAAAATGTGCTGTCACTGACTCTAGTGAATGAACCACCAAAAAGCTAGACATGTTTATGAAATTATCTGAGTCAGACAGTATTGCTCTTTGCTATTTTTGAAGTCATTAATTGTTATAAAATATTTTCTTAAACCAAGAGTCATTGACTGGACTCTGTTCATTTCTTCTCAGTACATTCTCTAAAATCTTAACTAGGCATCTTTAACATTCTTGAGCTACAAACAGTTACGCTTTATGAAAACTATTTGTATATTCTCATCAAATGTCATAATTTCGTTTCCTTTTATAGTTATTTCTCAATCCTGAAAATAACATAGCTTTCAATATTGTTCTACAACTTTGAGTTTTCACTCCAGATTATTTTGTTTCTCTCATGTAGAGGTATGTTGGAATAGTCTCAGGTAACGTCCACAGGCCTTTATTTTAGTACTGGTAAATATGTGGATTTGTTTGTATGTTTGTAGTTAAGCATAAAGCTACACAATGGGATATCTGTGTTCTGCCCACCATGACTATGGAAACCCGGTTTCTAGCGGTGTAAGTCCGCAGACGTACCCATTCCACACATTTGTTCCCCAGTGGCACACTCCTGCCAATATGCTACTCTGAGAGTCCTTTATTTTCTACTTTTACTCGTTTCTTTCTCATCACAGAACAACAATTATAATTTAGATTTCTTTTCCGTAGACAACTTTATGACATATGATAAGAATTTTGTGACATATTTATTTCTCTTAAAATGCTTGGGTCCTGTACAGTAATGGCACAAACACACGAACCAACGATTATCGCCTATTTTACTTGGAATTTTAGACCATTCGATATTGCAATACCATCGAGGAAAGTTTTACTGTGGAAATTTTCTCAGTGGTGTATGGTATAAGAGTGATCCCGCCATCCTTCAAAATCTATGTTTTCAACAATATAAAGCAATCATGGCTACCATCAAATTGACTAAGGACAACATGAAACCTCGAATATCATTCTTATAAGAAGATTGACTCTCAGTGTCATTTTCATGTGAAAATGGATTATTTTGCCTGTTTCAGAGTGTTACAAAAAATATTTCCTTTTCTGTTTTTTAAAGTCAACTTATATAACTAGTTTATGCTTTTGCAATAATTAAGGCGGAATTCCTCGTAATATTTGATTCAGCTGTAAAGTATGATTATTTACAAGCACACTCGAACATAATAGCATTGGAAAAGAACCTATATTTGAATTCTAGGTAAAATTATGTTAAATTTTGAAGACCATAGCTGACAATGTATTAATCTCTTAATATCTGTACCATCCTACCCTTTCAATATACATATTAACTGGATTTTCATCTGATGAGCCGAAGTTCTACCTTGCGTACCTCTTCTGCGTGACACGTGATAGTCTTCCATTTCAGTCTATCCTACGGTGGTGTTATTTTACAAGCTAAAAGTAACCTTTTTATACCGTCACGTACTGCTCCTGTTTGGGGAGTGATGCGTCAGCAATTCTGAAGAAGAGATTGAGCCTGAACAAAGAACTCCTTGTTCTCTTCAAATAAAAAACTTTAATAATAGAACTTCCTCTCTATATCGATTAAATTTATGTCTTTTAAAACTTTTGCAAGAAACTAAGTTGCTTTATGGGTTATTTTAGTTTTTTAACATACAAAACAATATTTCCAACAATGTCACTTATTATAGTTTCTATAACCGAAGCTAGTCTTAATATAATTTGTTTCATATTTACTGCTACATACTAAATGATTTTTTTACTCAAAATTCGAAGAACAAGTACAGAAAGTTTACGAGTCATCATGTATGTTTTTCGTTCTTTGACAGGAAATGCAATACCCTAGATATCTGAAATGTTTTTAGCATTTTAACTTATACATGCTATTCACAAGCAGTTTACAAACGTTGATCACTTCAAAAAGCCAATTTTTTAAAGTGACGACAAGTAGGTTGCACAATAATATGATATTTTCACACCGAATATAATTAACATAACTCCTGTCTAACTTAGTTCCAATATTATAAAACCTTAATCATAAAAGTCAAGTGATGGGTAGTCAGTCAGTTGGTCACACTCAATTTCTCCTGATTTCGTGAGTTACACGAGTCCAATACCACCTTTTCTCCTATAATACTCTTATAACCGTCCATTCCGATTTTAGATAAATTCAATCGCTAACATAGACGTAAATAGATCCAAAATTTCCGCACTTCTTCTGCTATATAAAAGCCCGTCAAGGAGGGAGTTCCCAGGACCAGATCAGGCATGGCGTTATGTGACTGACACCACATCAACCACATCATTATGACATTAAGCTAGGTAGGATCCGAATATGAAAGCCGGAAAGACTCACGTGATAGAAGACACAAAAGTGTATTCACACCCTATCAACGCTCGTAAAAAAAGCTAGAGCAAATCTATGCTTGGGAATTATTTCGAAAACGTCTTTGTTAAAAGAGACTGGAGAAGATACCAATTATCTCTAAGAAGGGGGACGATTTTGCCTCAAAAGAAGAACAGGTGTATATGCAATCATATGGTCATCGTATGTTTTAATCTTTTATCCAAAGGCACTAATATGTAGCACGTTTGCTCAGTTATATATAGTGTATTCAGGAGCAATATGTAGCATGTTCCTGGGAAAGGAAATTTTTCATTTATTTTATTTATTTATTTTGTGTATTGCTGGTTTTATACAGAATAGTTTTGTTTTCTAGTGGTTTCCCGACATTTCTGACAAGCTTTTACGCCAGTAAATATTAATATCCCCACATTTAAGATATTTGCGTCTTCTCTGATACATTATTATACCTCAAAATATAAAATATTTTAAAAGATGTCAACCTTTTGAACATTTTTAACCAGGAACCATTTCGGTATCATTTTATTCCACAATTCTTAGCGTGACATGTTTCTTCGAAAAACAGTGCCAAGAACTGGACACTACGCTGTTTTGCTTATTCTTGCAAAACGCGACTCTAGTCTTAAAGAACTAAAATTTCATACTTTTAGAGATTTTTCAGTTCTACGTTGTTGTTCTGACCATTATGATTTCAATTAATAACTATACTTAGAATAATGTTCAAGATTTTCCCGATCACGAAACATATGAAGCAGAAGTTTGTTTGTTTGTTGGATTTTGCACAAAGCTGCTCGATGGCTACATGCGCTAACTGCTTCTAATTTAAAAGTGGATAGACTAGACGAAGGCAGCTATTGGACTACTCTTTACTAACGAATAGGGTGATTGCCGTTACTTTACAATGACCCCACGGCTGAAAAGGCGAGCATGTTCGGTGAAAGGATTCGAGCCTCCAACCCGCAGCTTGCGAGTCGAGCATTCTAACCACCTGGCATCAAAGCAGAAGAAGCAGCGTATGACACTGTAACCCCCAGGCATCAAAGCAGAAGAAGCAGCGTATGACACTGTAACCCCCAGGCATCAAAGCAGAAGAAGCAGCGTATGACACTATAATCCCCAGGCATCAAAGCAGAAGAAGCAGCGTATGAAAGTACACAAAAGTTAGAAAATTGAATATTATGTTGTTGTTGTTTTTTTTTAAGTTATAACCGTAATCACAAAACAGTTACAAATTTTAAATTAAAGAAATATATCTTTGTACTTGATAAATATGCTTAGTTTTACTGTGTCCTCGTTGGAAACCTTGTTTGTCGAAATCGCTTTCAAAGGGCATACAAATTAATTGTAAAAATAGTTTTCTTCTAAGCTGTCATTAAAATATTTCAAACATACGTTGTACCTTCTGAGCTGTTCACTTTCAATGCCTATGTTATCTTTCAAGTCTTTTTTTTTGTAAAAATTCATATAAATACACCTAATATTCATAAGTGTATTTTTCTTTTTCTAGGTTTTAAGCATGTGGTTTTTCTATATGTTTGATATTCGATCCAATGGGCATTATAGAATCTCTACATTTGTTATCATTGTCTGTCTTACAGAATGGTAAGGGTTATATTCATTAAAATGTATAGCATGAAAACATACTTTGTTTACAAAAGTTATCTATTAAAATTACTAAAATGGCTTCTTTTTATAAATTAAAAATTAAAAACTATGACTATAAAACTATAAAATTATTTCTCTTAAGAAGATGAACAAATACAAATTTGAAAATAATTACTTTTAGAAGTGTTTCTAAGAAAAAAAGCAGGTATGATTCGATTTAAAATATCTTTAGATACAATGAATAAGCAGAAAGCTTTTTAACCTCAGGTCATATTTCTTTATATATGAACATATTAGTTTCGCCTCTAAAGAATTAACTTTCTAAATTCCTAATGTGTAAAACCATAGAAACACGAGAAAAAGCGAAATATTTATAAAGAGTTTTTGGTCACACATCAACTAATAAGTATATTATTGAAATATTGTTAATTCAATCAAATAAAACTTTATATTTAAATTGATTTCAAAGTTAATAATACATTACTCATTATCTAGGATCAATATTCAGAAATCTGAGTTAATTATCTGTAAAGAATGAGATAGCCAGTAACGGTTAGGATACAAGACCAAGGATTAAAATTAAATAAAAGTATGTAGTAAATTTCTAATTCATATTATTCATGTTTAAATATAAAAAACTGCCATTATATTTCAGCTTCAAGTTTACGTGTGGATCGTTAACTTTTAATGACTTGCTACCAGATGGTGTCAAAGCATACGACAAAATGAGGCCTCCAAAAAAAGATGGTATGAACAAATGTTAGCAAAAGAAAATCGTATTAATCTCACAACTTTTGACAAAGTACTAACCAATTTTTGGAACTTGAAATAAAAGAAAGAAGAATGAGTCAAAAACAAACATTTTCCACAATCAGATGTAACCTATATATATATATATATATATCGGTGGGTTTTGATACATTACAATATAACTGATAATAATTTTGACAAATGTTTCTTTACTGGACCTTTAGGAATTTCAAGTAAGAAAAATGTATTAGCTCTTCGACAGCATACCCTGTGTGCCGCTGCCGACGATGCCTTTTGTTCAAAAAATATTCACTAAAATAATTAATAATCTTATAGAATGTAATGTCACATAAACCTTCTAGCAATACCAATAGATCTTACACACATTAATATTTGTTACGAATTCTGCGAATTTAGCTGTAAGTAATAAGAGAAAGTGGGGTAAAACGGCCCCTTTCGGAAAACTGCATTGAATATTATTAGTTATGGCTTCTGCCATCTAAAACGAGCATATGTAACTATTGTTCACGTGCCTCCGTGAATAAACACTGGTGGACAAACACGAATGTGAATGATCAAAGCGAAACTTCAGGTGTTTTTTGCTTTGTGTTTTTTTTTTTTTGAACAACTTAATGTAACTTAAGCACTTAGAATTTTCTGTGGTTACGAAGTATATTTCAGAGAATTTCACTTTGCTAATTTCAAACAATAAGGAATTATAGAGAGCTGAATATGCCGTAAAAGGAATACAGTTCAAGTTAACTAGTGGCTTAGAGTAGGATGTCATCCCCCCCCCCTCCCCGCGGTACCGTCTTACACTGCACTAATGACATACATTTCCACCATAGCCTCTGTCCGCAGTTGTTGTTTTTTTATTGTCTCATACTAGTATTTACGTTCTTTTCTGCCATTATCCTGAATAATGCATAACTTGTGCATGACGTACAAGCTTCCCGGTAACTGCTGGGAGCATTTAATATTGATTTGAGCGATTTAATTGAAGTTGTTTAATGTATACTTATTTTAAATTGTTATGATATAGTTGGAGGTCTTTTAACTTCGTTCTGGGTGGCCTTTTCTATTCATCTTACTTACAACTGTTTGTTTGTTTTTGAATTTTGCGCAAAGCTACATGAGGGCTATCTGCGCTAGCCGTCCCTAATTTTGCAGTGTAAGACTAGAGGGAAGGCAGCTAGTCATCATCACCCACCGTCAACTCTTGGACTACTCTTTTGCCACTGAATAGTGGGATTGACCGTCAAGTAATAACGCCCCCACGGCTGAAAGGGCGACCATGTTTGGTGGGACGGGGATTCGAACTCGCGACCCACAGATTGCGAGTCGAGTGCCCTAACCACCTGGCCATGAGGGGCCTAATATACAACGGCCAACAACAAAAAAGTGCATTTTGTCAATAAGTAGAAATGACATTTATAATAAAACATGGTTCAGTTTAAAAGATTTTGTTTTTTTCATGGCATTTGCCCTTGTTGGTGAGAATCACATTCAAAGTTAAGGAGCTATCTTACCCCACCTTTCCCAAATATTATCTGTATCGGTAGTTAAGCTTAGCCTAGAAAATAACACACACAAAAACAGCATTCACAAGAAAAATGTTTGTTTCTCAATTCAAATATAGATTTTTACTGAAAAGAAAGCCAGTTTAAATACATATGTTGAACATTTAAAGATCCCCTGTTTCAGTTAATACTCATTTTTAAATAAACAAAAAATAAAGTAAGATTTCTGCGTATTTTCTTAACTAAATATTTCATTATGTTTTCGGAATATAAACTTTAGTTTTTAATCATTTTTGGTAATATTCTCACTGTTTAAAACACGATGTTTTTTTTCAAATTTAAAAAATAAAATCACAACAAACTGGTCTAATTAAGTTGTGGCCTCAATTTATAATCTGAGATTCCAAGTAAAGAAAATGAATCACAGCTTAAACAAATCATTTCTTATTAGAATTAATTACTAAACATTTTAGCAGTTTTTGAAACAAAAAAAATGTCTTTTATTTACAGGTAAACCAACCAAAGTGTTTTTCCATGTAACTGTCATGGGGCTCGATTCAATTAATGAAGGTTCAATGGTAAGTATAACGATGCTATTATAAAATGAAGTCTGTATTTTCACTCACCGTTGAATTGAAGGAATGGAAAATGTCATGGATTTGCAATAAGAAACTTTAATCATACACTTTTACATTTCCTTAGTAAAGAATTTACAATAATAAGACCTTTTTTGAAACTTCGTACCACTAAACTAAATAGAGATGCTACTAAGCTGAAAAGTTGTTGTAATAATCAAAATTCACAAACCAATCGGGCCTAATAAGCTGAAAATATATCAAAATGTAATTTAACATTACTCGTGTTTCAGACGTATGCTGCGGACATTTTCTTTGCTCAGACATGGAAGGACCACAGACTTAAACTCCCGGAGAATATGACTATGGACTACAGGTTGCTGGAAGTCGAGTGGCTGAAGTACATGTGGAGACCAGATTCATTTTTCAAAAACGCAAAACAAGTTACTTTTCAAACTATGACCATTCCTAACCATTACATGTGGCTATGGAAAGACAAAACTATACTTTATATGGTCAAGTAGGTCGCAATAATATTGTTTTCAACTATGTTGGCTTTGAGTTCTGAAACCAAAAGGCTGAGAAGAAAAGTTATATTTAACAAGCGATTTTTCACTTAACCAGAGCGTGCTTTCCGCCAATTAAATCTGGGATTATGTATTATTTCCTACAAGTTTGTCAGAGTTCACGATTTAGAGCAATGCTGAAAGAAAGAAATAATTTTGTAGGGTTAGTGGGAACGATATTTTGCTGAAAAGTGGCTTTTCGCCATCTGTTGTTTTAATGCTATGTCAATGAGAGCACGCTGTTTTTCTTCAAAAATGCTTACGCTAGTCGTTTCGAAATCTTTGCAAATGTATAAAGCGTCAATTTCGAAGCAGACCTGCAGGTTTGTAAAACGCTCGGTATGTTACATGTGCAGCATATGTGTATGTGATCATGGTGAGATATCCGTGACCAAATACATTAGCTGTAAAAGAGATCACGAAGGAACGATGCAAATATACGCCCCGAAGCGACTAGACATTTTCAATGAAATTCTAGATGAGGTCCTAATCATGACAAGAAGAGTGTGATGAAGGACGATGGCAGGGAGGCAATAAATGATGTTGGTGAGCTGCCTACCATATTTGGCTCAAGTGCAGATCATCATCCAAAGCTGTTCATCTTTGGAACTGTGTAACTCTTCACTCGTAGAGCCTTCAGCCTTTTCAGCTGCAGCGAAATCCTAATCAAATCGTACTCTACCCATCCCTAAAATTTACTTATTTTATGCATTCCTAGATTTGGCAAGAACCCTACTCACTTATCAACCTACTGCATTTTTTCTAGTTAAGTCAGAGATCGCTTGTTAAGGAAAAAAAAGTGAGTGATTGGAAGTTTAACGTTAATAAAATGCAGGTGAAAACTTGTGTTAAAATAAAACGTTACACAGAAAACTAACTACACCGAATCAGGGCCCAAAATTTAACACGATGTTTTTTGCATACTATACTTATAAGCGCATAATTAGTGGTTGATTACATAATCAAATTCTGAATTTTTGGACTTAGTAAAGTCATGTTGACGTCAATGTTATCGAATTTGACTTTGTTTCTTATTGCTTGGCAAGTAGTGCCTGCTGGCCAAGGCAATCTGATTTTATTGCAGCTCAAACAGTTCTGAAGCCTAAAAGTGTGTTTGGTATTGTTATTGCATTAGAAAATAAGTGTTAAGTTACTTCATCATGCCCGAATAGTTATTAAAGTTACCAGAAATTATAACCTCAGAAAATATTATATATTAGAGGTTATTGATTTCGATGTTTAGAAAAGTAATTGTAACTTATTATACATAGTATTATAGATAGTATTTCTAAGAAATCAAGAATGAAAGTAAAGAATAATGTATAACAATATGTCAACCACACGATATCTGTCATATCCAGTACTTCAACCACACGATATCTGTCATATCCAGTACTTCAACCACACGATGTCTGTCATATCCAGTACTTCAACCACACGATATCTGTCATATCCAGTACTTTAACCACACGATGTCTGTCATATCCAGTACTTCAACCACACGATATCTGTCATATCTAGTACTTCAACCACACGATATCTGTCATATCTAGTACTTCAACCACACGATATCTGTCATATCTAGTACTTCAACCACACGATGTCTGTCATATCCAGTAGTTCAACCACACGATATCTGTCTTATCCAATAATTCAACCACACGATATCTAGCATATAAAGTGCCGACAAGGTCTTTCGCCCTATAGCAGGGCTTATCAAGCCGGCAGAAATACGAAAGACACAGTAATGGTTGAAACGAACGCTGTTGATATTATCAAACTGCATGAACATTGAGCAAAAAATGTCATAATGTGAATGAACTATATTACGTTGGTGAAGTGTAGTTTTTATCAATTTTACATGAGTCATTTACAATCAGAATTAGGAGTAAAAATTAATAACACAATGTTATTTAGTTGTTTTAACACCAGTTATCTTATTTTTATTCTTGTTTTTACTAGACTTAAGTTTTCTCATCATTCATAATACACTGGCGAACCAACAAGCTAGTCTTAGTAAGGTGTATTAAAATTAGTTATCATTAGTTATTTGATGGATAGGTGTTTTTTACTGCAGGTTAACATTAACGCTTTCCTGCTCCATGAACTTTGCTTCTTATCCTCACGATACCCAAATGTGTTCCTTACAAATGGAAAGCCGTAAGTATCTTGTTTTTTACTAAACTTTATCAACTACGGTCAGTAGCCCAGATATCTTCGTTTGAAATCCTCTGTAAAAATTGCAGATAAAAAAATGAAGCACATCAATTTGTCTCGTTGTAGAATCAATATGAAGAATTGCATCAAAATAGCGGTCCAATTTCAAATAAGCTGGATTAATTATTGTAGTTTTCGCTTATAACTTATGTCAAAGCTACAGAGTCTTACTTATTATGTAATATTATATTGTCATTTTTGTTCTATTTTTATCAAGTGTATGTAATAGGTCACCCTATTTTGTTTCCTTTATTTTATTTCAGTTTCTTATACAACTGACGATTTGGTGTTCGATTGGGAACAAAAAGTTCCTTTAGCTGTTGACGAAAATATTGAATTGCCACAATTAGATTTGATTAAAACCGAGAGAGCTGACTGTACACAGGTGTATTCAACAGGTAAAAGATTTAGATTGTTTTGAGTAGTAAATATACCAATATCAAATAAGAGCTGTCGTCTGAAAATGATGTTTGAAAAATATTTTTAAAATGCAAATAAGTTAAACTTGTAAAAAAAAAGCAGTATTTGTTTTTTCTTGCGGTAGATAAATATGTTTTCTTCTATTTTCCAACATTAAAAAAATAGTTTTTGTTAGATGAACTGGTAAACATGTACAGGAAGAAAGGGGTTTTGCTGAAATTACAAATAACAGCTAGTACTAAGATTGGACAAACAACAGCTTCATATTTTGTTTGAGCGATATTTGGCAGTTAGGAGTCACATCAGATACTAGCGAACCTGTGGGTCTATGGCCCACATTTACAGGGCTGCTATAATGCAAATTTAATGCTTGAACTACTGTTTGACACTTTTACAGCTTAATGATCATTGTCGCTATAATACAAGTTTAATATCTTCAACCAAGTTACGAACGGTAATTAGTAGTTCTACTTATTTACGTGATATAATGTAAATCAGTGCCAAATCTGGGATCCGCTTTCGGGGAATCCACGTAAAAGTGTTTTTGCAAAATCCCCGGGTTCCCCAAGGGATGGGGTGAAAATTTTTACCTTTGTGCAAACCTCGGGACCGAGGTAATTCGTTGGGTACCATTTAAAAGTAGGTGCAACGAGCGGTTTAGGAGAAGTTACGTGACACACATACAAGCACTGAATCTTATTATATCAATAGACAAACTGCCTTATTAGCTTGTTTTTAGACTACATGTTCAGGTTTTCATATATCTTTTTATAAATGCTATCCAATTACATTATTGAAATAACAATTTTGTGTTTCGAGTGAGAAGCCCCGAAGTGGCACAGCGGTAAGTCTGCGTACTTACAACGCTAGAAACCAGGTTTCGATACCCGTG